TCACACACACACACACACACACACACACACTAGTAGTTTATTTAGCTTACGGTTTAGAGGTTTAGCGTCTGTTGCTGGTTCATAACATGGCAGAAAAGCAGAAGGGAAAGTGAGCATGTGCAAGAGAGAAAAGTCTGAAAAGCTGGATTGTCTTTATAATAACCCATTCATTCCCTCGAGAACATCCTTAATTCTCTTCTTGGGGGCAGAACACTCATGACTCAAACACTGCCTTAAAGTCAAATATAAGTTTCAGAATGGACAAAGCACATTCAAACCATGAGTAGCATCATGTATGGAAGGACTGGTTGTGAAAAGCTGCCCTTGCTGGTTGATCACTAGTTGGGCCTGGGCCAGACGTGACCACAGAGATAGCCAGGACTTCAGTATGCTTTTAGCCTTTCCTAGTAAGTTGGTTGGTCTGTTCAATTCCTTTGCTTTTTAAAATTTTTGTAGTGCTCCTGAAGTTGAGTGTTTCTTATTCAGAGCTGATATTTAGAGTTATTTGGAAAAGGACTTTTTAAAAATCATATATATAATTTGCTACTCTCTCTGAATAAGAAATGTATTTGCACCAGCAGTTTGAAGCCTTTGATAAGCTAATGTATAGTGCCTATCAACACTTTTTTGACTGTTTTGTTGTTTTTGGAAAAAAAATTCTTTGTGTCTTTTTTTTTTCTTTTTCTTTTTTTTCTCTTTGTGTCCTTAACTCTTGGTGGTCCACTACCACCTGCTTTATTCCTGAAGATCCATCACCTATAGGATTTTTTAAAAATATTTTTAGTTGTAGATGGACACAATACCTTTATTTTATTTATTTTTTTTTAATGTGGTTCTCGGGAATGAACCCAGTGCCTCACACATGCTAGGCAAGTACTCTACCAATGAACCACAACCCCAGCCCACCTGTTGGATCTTTAAGGGTTTTGGAACCTCTGAGAAACAAGATCCATTGCCATCGAAATTTGGGGGAAAGATTTGGCTAATTAAAAGTGTCATTTCTGATTTTAAAGAACTAGGGAGGGGACTGGAACTGTGTAGCTCAGTGGTACAGCGCTTACCTAGCATGGGTGAGGCACTAGGTTCAATTCTCAGCACCATGTATAAATAAATAACAATGAAGGTCCATCAACAACTAAAAAATGTTTTAAAAAATAAAAGAACTGGGGAGGGGGTATGGGGTCAGAAAGAGGTGGAATGAGACAGGCATCATTACTTTATGTACATGTATATCTGTACATGTGGTATGACTGTACATGTGGTACGACTACATCAGGTATAATCAGAAATGAAAAGTTGTGCTTCATTTGTGTATAATCCATAAAAATGAATCAAAATGCATTCTGCTGACATGTATAATGAATTAGCACAAATAAAAGAAAAAAGAACTCTTCATTGGGTTTTGATGGGAGTTTATATGTGTGGTTTGCTTTCCTTGACACGAGACTTGACAAGAACAGTCAGCTAGTTTACAAGGTTTGCAGAAGGAAGCATTAAGCTCCTTGTTAACAGGCTGACCTCTGTCTTCTGATTTTCAGTGGTGCTTCATGCCCCACCTCCAACCAAGATCAAACGGGAGCTGCATAGCCCCTCCTCTGAGCTGTCATCCTGTAGCCATGAGCAGGCTCTTGGTGCTAACTATGGAGAAAAGTGCCTCTACAACTATTGGTAAGTGGAGCAGGGAAAGGCTTCCCAGAAACAGCCATCAAGTTCAGTGACCCAAATATTATCCAGCAGATCCTTGGGGGGTCTTTTGTGGCATTGATATAGGTGTAGCCTAATCCATTGGGAACCACTGAGCTACACATAAAAGGCAAAACATTTAAAGTGTTGTAGCTCTAAGGGAACCAAGTTCATGGGATACCAAGCCCTGCTAGAGCCCAGAATACTGGGTGTTTGATCTGTGGCTTTGAGGCAGGTAATATATACTTCTTCATGTCTATCATATGTTAATGTGAACTTTAAGCACCAAGGAAGTAATCTTCAAATCAGAGTAAACAAAAGAGTCCCGATGCCTGTGCCCTTTACTTAAGAATATGCAGGCCCCCAGAATGAAGCTTTAATTTTAAATCATTCTTTGCTAGAGAAGGTAAACATAGATCTCTGCCTGAAAGGGGGAAGAGAAGACTTGTTAATTCAAGTGATATTACATCAGAAATTTACCTTCTGCAAAGATTCTAATTCCAGGAACCCTGGAATATTTAGGAGAGGGGGACCAGAGAGTACCTGAGGCGGAAATTCTCCCCTCACCCATCTACCCCTACACGTGCCTACATACACAGAGAATTCTTTTAGAAAGAGGGAAAAAGGAAACCGGAAGCAGAGGCTAAAATTATCTTTGTGAAAAATCACTAGAAGTGTTAAACAAATCCCTGTGACGCAGTGTGTTTGTCACTTTTCAGAGGTACAAATATTCCCTCAGGGCTGCTAGCAATTTAACTATGTTAATGCTGTCATTTCCTGGCAACAATGGGCTGCTCACTACTGTTCTGCTGGACCTGGTAACCATGCTAATGGCTTCATTGCAGTTTAATGGTTCCTTTTCTTTTTCTGTTCACAGTGCCTATGATAGGAAGCCTCCCTCTGGGTTCAAGCCATTAACCCCTCCTACCACTCCTCTGTCACCCACCCATCAGAATTCCCTGTTTCCCCCATCTCAGGCAACTCTGCCCACCTCAGCGCATGCCCCTGGAGCTGGCCCAGTACAAGGTGTGGGCCCTGCCCCCACCCCTCACTCGCTTCCAGAACCTGGACCACAGCAGCAAACATTTGCGGTCCCCCGACCACCACATCAGCCCCTGCAGATGCCAAAGATGATGCCTGAAAACCAGTATCCATCAGAACAGAGGTGGGTGCTGCTCCAGACCTTCTGAACTGCCTCCAGTATCCCTCTCCTTTTCTCAGTGGGAGAAGGGAAGCAGTTAGTCGTATTTGCCAGGTACCTATAATGTTCTCATTCCACCGAGGCGTCTTGTGAGGTAAGACCAATAATGATATGAATATGACTTGTTTATATACCACACTACTCCCGAGGTACTCCAAATGGTTTGTAGACATTACGACATCCTTATGAGGTAGGTAAGGAAGAGATAATTAGTGCTGCCCGCCCCCCTCCAAGCTAGGGGAAGGTTGACTTGCCCAGGATGTGTAATCTGTTGACCCTCTTCAAGGGCAGGTTTCCTGGCTCCTCATTGATTTTTGTCTGTGAGGGATGATCTTTGGTTTATGCTGCCTATAATTACTTTATTACTATTTTACATACATATTAGGGAAGATTGCTGAGTTACAGGAGTCATTATTATTCATCTGATTTTAACACGTTTCAACAGTAGATTAACCAAAGACCTTGATTGTAACAATCTGCTCTTGAGAAATCTCATGGTTATTTTTTCCTGTAGTTTTTCATTTCTAATAAGAAAAGCAAGGCATCAGGGGTAATTTGGAGTCCTTCATTTATCAAAAACTAAAAAGTATTAAGGGAATTTATTCTGTACACTCCAAACTTGAGTTCCAGCCTCCTAACTCTATTATCTGTGGTATTCTAGAATTTTGAAGGTTTATAGTTTGCCTTTACGTAGAATGCTCTGGGGACCTGTCCTTTTTTTTATTCCAAGTCTCGAATGCTGAGATAAAGGCAGTTAGGTGGGGAGAATGTAGAGTGTACTTCCCCAGGTCTGGTCAAGCTCAGATTCCTATCCATATTTACTTGGAGTTCATTTTCCTTATTTCTAGAGAAGTAAAGTGCCTCTGGCTGGTTCTGATCCATTCCTCCTTTGCTCTGACAGCCCCCATAAAGAATTACATAATATGGCTGGTTGGTGTTTATTCCCTTGGTTAGGCCAAGGGCCAGGAACACCTATGCTGTACAGGGTTCCAGGGGTGAGTGTTGTTAGGGTGCTGGCTCAGGAGGAGCCTTCACTTATTTGAAAGAGCTGCCACCAGGCTTTTGACAACTGTTACCTTATATCAATAACTTTGTCCTTTTTCAAGATAACTGGGAAATTTGGACTTTTATTAAAAGTAAAGTTTTTTGGTTTTTTTGTTTTTAAGTTGGCAACTGATTTAAATTAAAAACAACAACATTCTGCAGTCTAAACAAAACCTATCTGTGGGCAAAATCACTCTGCATGCCTGCCAGTTTGTGAAACTCTGACCTAGACACCATTTTTATTTCAACAGTTTTTTAGTGTTATGTTTTATGAACTTTTTAATAGCTCTGTGTCCAGGACAGAATTAAAAAGCAAAACATTTTATAGAAGAGAAATCAGGCATTGGAGCAACTAAAGGACTTTTAAAGAACACACAGCCAAATACAGGGTCTCACATTCAGAAACCAAATGTAAACTCCTGTAACTATACTATTTGTTTTGGTTATGAGGGGTTTTTTTGTTTGTTTGTTTGTTTTTGAGTTGTTGACATCCACTAATGGCTATTAAAAACTGGATAAGTGACCTTGATTCCAACTTAAACTATATCCATCTCATAATACCAATAGAACTTCTCTCTCAAATTACAAAACCCTCAGGACCTGCATAGTTACTCCAAAATCATGTGATAACATATCTTTTTTGTTTTGCTCTGGTTGTACTTTATCTGGTCAGGTGAATCAAGTAAGCTTTTTGAGGAAATAAGCACGGTTTAGACTCCTTTCTTTAGACTGCATTTCGCCTTATGTGCTTACTGTCCCTGGTGTATATTGATAGTGATGGCAGTTTGCTAGAATCATACTTGAAACAACTAAAATGTAATCTAGTCAAAAGTACATTCTTAATGTTTCATGTAATTTTCGTATATAATTCTTCACAGCTCAGTTTATTTTTAGAAGATAAACACTGTGTTTGAAAGCCGTGATTTATCTTGATTTCCTCCCCACAAGAAGGGGGAATACCATGTAATTTGGCATGTTCAGACATGTTCCATTTACACTGAACGACCAGCTGCTTCTCCAGGGACGTGCTCTGCCTTCAGCCAGCCCGGTCCTGCCAGGATTTTCAGCAAGCTGCTCACGGTGTTTACATGTGCCGGGTAGATCCTACGTTACGCCCATAGTGCTGGCCACAAGTATTTCTGTCTTTTATTGTACCATATCTCATTACATCTCAAGTAGAGGAAGGTCCCACAATTCAGCGAAAGGGGCTCCACTGAAGAAATATGTCATCTAAGAATTTTGAGATATCCTGATACCCTCATGCACTTGACAGCCAGAAAAGAGAAAACATTCCTGTAGTGGAAAAATTCGCTTCTGAATAGTCCCTGAGAGCATCAGCATCCTGGAGGTGATCATGCTGCCATTGATAGACTCTAGTGGCTGAGTGATCAAGAGAAGGCTACTTACATTCGGCATCTCCTAGGAAAAGAAATGGCCTAACCTGTTCTCTCCCTTGGTGGTGACAGTCCATACCTGAAGGCTTACTGGGATGAGCTAAGTTTTCTGGAATTTTGATTTAATAGAAACTACTCAGTCCTTAAAGATAGTAGATAAATCAAGATCTTTAATAGACTCAAATTTTTCTCGTTTCCAT